CCGGCGGACCGCGTACACACGCACATGCACGCAGCGGGGAGCCACGGTCCAACAGCACTGGGGCCACAGGGGGCCTCGACCGACTCCTCAGCCATCACCCTTGTCCCAGTGCCCCGCCTCGCCCAGGACTCCTGCAGGCCAGGACGCCCGGGCTCCAGCCAGCTGCCAGCAGCCGCACGACTGTCCAATGGAGTGGCCTTGTATTGCAGGGCGCCCCTTCCAGAAAGTCACTCCTGCGGTGCCTACAGAAGGCCACGGCTACGTGTTGCTGTCCTGCACTCCCACACCTTCCTCCACACTGCGCCAGCATAGGGACCACGACGCAGCCCAAGTCCACGGCATCTCCCAGTCCTCGTCCCCCTCACCTTTGTACAAAGCTGGCACAGGGGGACGCTGTGGCCCTTGCTTTCCACCTGAGTTCAGGAGCACTTCCTCCTGGTCCATAAAGAGCAGAGGCCCAGGCCCCAAGCCCACTTCACAGAGGTGCAAGGCTTCACCCGAGTCCACCTGCAGACGCAGCCCAAGCAGGGAGGAAACAGAAGGTCGCGGGCCTAAGGCGAAGGGCCAGCCAGGACTCGGGCGTCAGGAAACAAGCCAACACATGAGCACAGGTCACACCAGCACCAGAGTCGGGGACAGGAGCCCGGCCAGGCCACTGCCCTGGGCCAGACAACAAGGGAAGAAGATGGGCTGGCCTGGGTCTGACAACCAGGGACCTGGGTCCCCAATGATCAGGACCAGAGCCGAGCTCTGCTGCTGGCGACAGGAGCATGATGTCACATGCTCCTGACAGGCAGATGTAGATGGCACAGACACAAAGCAACCAGCATGATGAACCAGGTGTCCTGAGGGTCCATGCGCCAGCCAGCAGGCAATGTGGAGGCAAGGGAACGGCATTCGAGGAGCAGCCTGGAGGCCGCGTGGCCATGATGCGGGGCGAGATGGGAGTGGAGCAAGCCAGACACCCAGAAATGGTCAGGGCAGAGTGGACGCTGACCTGGTACCGGTGCCCAGGACACAGGTGAGGAACACCGCGGCACCAGGAGTCGGCTCTCCTCCCGCTCCCTCCCACAGAGGCTGGCCTCCCCGAAAAGCCAAGGAGCAGGGGGAGGCTGGGCCGCAGCCCAGCGACGAGCATGTGTCTCCCGCAAGGCCCAGGTCCACCCAGCACCATGACAAGAAAAGCAAAAGAACTCCACAGAGCAAAGAGCCCACCTGGGTCTCCCCAGAAGCAGTCAGACACTGAGACCACCTTCTTGCAGTCACACGTCACAGTCCCAGGTGGCAGGAGGCTGTTAGTCGCTGCGTTCCTAGAAGGACACCACCCTGGGCGACTTGGTCCTCACTGGACTAGTCCCTCTCTGCCACATTACTCCTTGTGGCAGGTCTCCACTGTCGTGCCAGTCAGACAGTGTGTTCCCCAAAGCCCCTGCGACTCTGCCCCAAGAGCCTCCAATGCATCTATGTGCTGAGAGATGCTTGTCCCATCAGGAAGCCACCAAGAGCATGGGCTCCACAGCCGGCTACGTGGACAGGCCCAGCTGGGCACAAAGCAGCTGTGGGAGCAAACGCAGAAGTGAACTGAAGGAGCTGGATGTGGTGAGCCTCGCTACTGGAGAGGCTGAGGCAGGAGGATCACAAATCCAAGGCCAGTCTCAACTACTTGTCAAGACCCTGTCTCAAAATAAAAAGGGCTGGGATGTGGCTCGGTGGTGGAGCGCCCCTGGCTTCAATCCCCAGGACCATGAAACCACAAGCAGCAAACAACAAAGTAACAGAATGGAAAAGCAGGAAGAGGCGATTCCTAGGTAGAAGAATGGGACTCTAGAGCCACCCCTGGCGACCCCTGAAGAGAAGTAGCAGGTTTTCCTGGTGCCACAGCCTCATCTATTCCCTGGAACCACACCTGGGAAACCCAGGGCCTGCCACACCTCTGACATGACCACAGAGAGGCTGAGGAGACACCGGGCAGCGAGGCCCACACCCACCCGCTTCCATCCCCCAGCCGCCTGCCCTGGGCAAGAACAAAGCTGCTTCCTGCAGCAAGGGCGCCTGCACCGCGGCCAGCCCACAGAGCCCCGTCACACCATGGTTGTCTCTGCCCTGCACCCATCTCCTGTGCCACAGCACCCAGCCCCAGCCAGGGCATAGCTGTTTCTGCCAGAGTCAGGCCTTGGTGCCCCTCATCACCCCCTGAGCTCTGGGGCCTGGGCTCCTTCCCCCCTTAGCATCCACTCTCTGGGTGCAAGGCGGAGGAGGGTGGTGGAGACCCAGATGCTCCTCCTGGCCTGGCAGCGGACACAGGCAGCAGGCATCTAGGGGACCGCATTCTCAAGCAGGGGCTCAGGTGCTGCACGCTCATCAATGTTAACGGTCAAGACCGGGGCTCACGGCTGGGGCGTGGCTCAGAGTGGGGCACTTGCCTGGCAGGCTCGCTACTGGAAAGGCTGAGGCAGGAGGATCACAAACGAACAAAAAGCCCTCAAACAGAAGTGTTCCGGGGCTGATCTCATCAGAAGATGTGGCCGAGCCACCCAGCACTGAGCTCGCTCATGCCCGCCCTGCTGCCTGGTGAGAAGGACAAGGAACTCAAGACAGGGACAGCACCTTCCCCCAGGCTGAGCCTGTGGCCCGTGGAAGGTGTTCCATAAGTACCTGTGAAGTGACCGACTGTCCTACAGACCACGCTGGGAAGACCCTAGCTTCGTTTGGGGTCTTTCTGTGATGTTCCCTGAGCTGGCCCCATGGGCCAGAAATCTTTGTGTCTAATGCATCGCGCAGTGGGCGTTTCAATGCCAACCACGAACACTCTGCAGGCCAGGAGCCAGGCCTGCGCAGAGCCCTCCATACACACCACGCCGCAGCCCTGCGAGCCGGCCTGGTGGGAGAGCCGGCTGGTTTGGTATGAAAACAATGAAAGCTGGAGAGGTGAAGTGATTTGCCCAAAGCCACGCAGCCAGCAAGTCACCCGCGACGACGAACATGAACAACCACATGCCACGGAAATCCTGTTGCTGTGCTCCGAGAGCGATCATCAGTCCAGTTAGGGATGGATGTTCATTCAGAAAATTTAAACGCATTTTTTATTCTTTTTGATTCAAAGAAAATGTGTAAAACTTTATCTAGAGTAACTGCAGTGTCCTTCAAGTTAACTGCGATTTTTGGATTAAAAAGATGCAAGTGAGAACACCAAGTGGTGAAACTTAAAACAATCCACTCTAAACCAAAGCTCTCAGGCTCCAGCCATCCCAGCGCCCTGCTGTTCCTGCAGCACCACCCCATCCAGCCTTCTCCTCCTGGCCCCGAGCCTCTCCAGTCACCCTGAAGGGCCTCCTAGGCCGACACCCACTCCCTGGTGAGAGCTTGGGCAGCTCCTGATGTCAGATGCTCAGAACTTCAGGGGACATGGGTGGAAATGCTCCACTCTCACAGAACAGAGGGAGGGGGCATGCACATGGAGATTCAGCACTGTGGCCCGCACCAGTAGGCCCCATTGGCCAGGAGTTGGGACCTTGAGCACCATGGTGGTGTCCTCCAGACAGGGGCTGCTTTCCCTGATGACAAACCAAATATTTTAGCCACCGCCACATGAAGTTCTAAGCACCCTACATTTCACATGTTCAGTGTCCAGGCATGTTGACTCCACAGTGAACGGTGACCTGCTTGTCTGGTGGCACAGCCAGAGGCAGTGACCAGTGGTGAGAAGAAGCCATGGGTCCCTGGGACCCAGATCCCAAACAGAATGATAATGCAATGTCCCTTCTGGGACCCGGGCTGGCACACCCTGAGGTTCCGCATGTGCTGTCAGACCCCAGCGTGCCATCTGAGCCCACAACCCCTCTGCGCCTCTGTGGCCCTGCCGGCCCCTGTCACTGCAGGAGGCCTGGCTAGAGGAGGGAGGGCCAGAGGGCTAGGCGTCTCCACGGGACAGCCACACTGGAGCACAGCTTGGTGGGGGGTGGGGGGTGGGCAGCAGGTGGCAGACCTGAGACTTCAGCAGGTCCGCTGAGCCCCGCTGCTCCTCCTGTGCCACCACGCTTCCACCCAAAATATTGATTCTAAAATGGAGGTTAATTATTCAATTTCCAGAATGCCCCGTGAGGACAGCCCTGGAGAGCGAGTTCTGCTGAGACATTTAAAATGGGTCCCCTTGTAAAGCCTCTGCTCCCACGTCACTTCCCAGGAGAGGTGGATTAGAAAGGTGCCCTCCCCCAAAGTGGCTTTTCTTCCAGGCCTGTTCCTCTGTCCTCCCTGGAAAGCCAAGAGTCACAGGGAGACTGCTGAGGTCTGTGGCGGTGGCAGCCCACTCGCCCCAGAGAGCCAGGCGGGCTACCCTGCAGGTGCCCCGAGGGCCACCCGGCTGCCCATTTGTCTGGAGGACTCTGGCTTCTTTGCATTTCTCACTAAGCCTGAATCGGGCACAAAGGGACCTGAGAGACAGACGAAGAGTGCACTGCCCGCCACTCTGGGCACTGTCCTCCCAGTGACAGTCAAAAGAGGCAGGAGCGTGTGAAGAGCAGTTCCCAGAGCCCTTTACAGCGCACTTCAGCAAGGCGTTTCAAAGGCCGTAGCAGGTGAAATGCAGGCTCTAAAAGAAACATCGGGCAATGGGCCTCACATGCGCAGCCTCAGACTCTCCGCTGCAGACCCATGGCCGCCCCACATGTCCTTAAGGACTCTGGTGGCCTCTACCCACCGTGGGGCACAGGCCAGAACAGGCCACACGTCTGCACCTGCACTTGCATGGTGCCCACCCAGCTTGTTCCACACCTGCACCTGGAGTCAGCCAGTACCATGATGTTCCTGGACAAGCTACCCACTGCCGTGTCCCCAGAGCCCAAGCAGGGCAAGCATGACGTTCTGCTGGGGCTATGGACAATGCAAAAGAGGCAGGCGGCTGGCCACACATTGTCTGATCAACCACAAAACGCCCGAGACGCGTGTCCCAGGGGTGTGCGAGAGCCACAGCCCCTCCGGGAGGTCTCCAGGGAACCCCTCACCTCCGGAGTGTTCTTCTTGAACTCGCGGCTCTGCTCGATGAGCCGCTTCCTGGACTGTTCGCTTTCATCCTGACGGTTCGCCAACACTGTCGCGGTGGCATCGAGTTCTCTCTGTGGAGGGACACAAGAAGGAAAACAAGGATTGTGATCGTACTTTCTACCAGAAGGGTTCACATGTCCACCTGACCAGGACACTCAACAGAGACCCCTGGGGCTCCGAGACACCCACTCATGGGCAGAGGAGGGACTCGGGCAGTGAGCACCATCCCCCTGCCCCACAGGCCCTGGCTGGAGAAACCCAAGCTTGCTCAGCCTGCCAGGCTCGCCACGCTGTTCCCCACACACACTGCCCAGTGGCCATGCCTAGAACAGCACACACAGAAACAGCGTCTCCACCACAACCAATGTCGGCAATGCCTCCCTCCGAAGCAGCTCAGGATGCTCTGAGCAGGCCTCTCGGGCCACTCTCCTGAGTCCCAGTCCCCTGATGAGCACAGCGCTTCCCACCAGGGCTTCTGTCTTGCTGTCCTTCCGCGGTGCGGGCCTGGGATCTTACAGTCACATCTGATTTGCTTTCATTCAACAAATATTTACAGGGAGCTTAACTCTGGGTCAGGCACCACACTCAGGACAATTAACCTGTTAATCTTGTAAACTTCCCAGAAGCAAGGCCCCTGAGAGGGGCAGTGACTCTCAAGCAATCTTACTTGCCCTGGACAGACTTGGGGACCACTGCAGGGGGTCTCCAGAAGAAGACCTGCCCGGGTGGAGGGTGCTGGGCTCTGCTCTACTCCGCAACCTGACGCTGGTGTCAGGAACTTGTGCCCTGGCCTCAGAGATTCTGGGGGGAGCTGCCAGGAGTAATGTAAAGCAGGCTGCGGCACATGGGCCCAGAAGTGGGGCTCCAGGCACGTGGCAGGAGCACAAGCCACGTGGCTGTCACCAGTCAAAGGCCCACCGTCTCCTGAGTTGGTTCAGTTACTGAAGCTGCAATGGCAGCTCATTCTACATTGGATTCAGATGGTTGCTCCAAGTGGCCTCTCGAGGCAAGGACCGGCACGCCCTGCAGTCTAGCAGAGCCAGGATCTTGCTGAAGGCTCAGAAAGGCCATGAGAACCCACCACTGACCCCCCAGGATGCCACAGTTAAGGGTTTCTCTCCGCCCATCTCCTCAGGTTCCCGTGAGTTTCCTTTTTGGTGAGAATAACCCAGTGGGCCCCAAAGCCCTCCTGGTACCACTATGGGGTGGCCCACAGCCAGACAAGATGACAGAGAGCTGGGACAACCACCCAGCAGGCTGTCAGCTCTGGAATCGTGGACCGTGGGGGGCGGGGGCACAGGGGCTGGGAGGGGAGGTGCCGCCACGCCACACTCCCCCTTTAGCATTTCTGGCATTAAAGCAAAACTTGGGCAAACAAGTCCAAGAGAATATCGTGGGCTAGCGTTCGAGAACAGATGTCAAAGCTATTGCAGAAAAGAGGGAAACACTGAGCATTTTGATAGACCACATTTGAAACGCATCCCAGTCGAGGGAAGGCAGGGAAAAAGAGCAACCACCACGCATGTGGGAGAGCGGGCTGGGACGAGAAGAGGAGCCACAGATACGCAGGAGGCGCTCGGAAATATAAACAATCTGGCGAGGAGGAGGACGCAGACGTCTATATTTAAGCAGCAGCAGAAGAAGTTATAAAAGGAGGCTTCGAGGAGGGGATGAAAGCCAATATTGAAATATGACAAAAACGAAGGGTTGATGTTTGTTCCAGGCACACACACAGAGGACCAAGAGAACGACACAGAGCCCCGGCGCCTGCGCCACCAGGAAGTCCACCCTGGTCAGCCACCCAGTCGGGGCATCTGCTGGCTTCTTCAAGACACTGAGGTGCCAGACTTGGGGGGCACAGGGGGACTTGTGGGGTCCCAGCCTTCCTTCCTAGTGGGGAGTGTGGGTAAATGACTGAGGAGTCCCCAGAGTGAGGGGTCTGCAGGCCCGTCTGTCCCTGGGCTCCCCGTCTGGCCTCTGGCTCGGGGTTCCTCCCTGGGCAGGCTGGCTGGTCGGGAAGCCTGAGTTGAACAGGTGACAGCGGGCAGACCCACCTTGACCCTGGCATCGCAGAGCCAATGCACCGGAGGCCACCTGCTCCGGCAGCAGGGCCTCTGCAGGGGCCCCCACGCGCCCTCCCCATGCCTGCAGACACGTGCAGGCCAACAAAAGGGGTCTCCAAACTCAACAGCACACTGCCACCTGCCACCACAGAAACAGATCAGCAGAGGACAGGAGGGAGCCTCAACCGCCCGGAGAGAGCTGGTGGGATTTAAGGCTCACAATCTGACCAAGGCCCCTGGCAGGGGGCCGGGGGAGGGGGGGACCACCGAGTCCTTCTGAAGGAAGCCAAGGTGCTGGTTCCCAGGCTGTGGGCACAATGCAGAGGGAGGAGGCACCTATTAAACACAAACTGGACATGTCCCCCTGCCCACCAAGCCCGCCTAGACTCCAAGTGCCCAACAGGACAACACTTAACAAGGGAACCTTGGGTGTTGAGGGAGGTGGGTGGGGGCCCAAAACAGACCCCTTAGCCCAGGAGTCACAGTCACGGTAAATGGGAGCAGAGTGCCCACATCGGAACAGCCTCAAGTCACACAGAGCCGCAACACCGGGACAGCCACAATGCCCCCCATCAGCAAATCTGGCCTGGCCACTCAGACTGCAGGACGATGGTCTGAAAAATACGTGCTGTGTAGGAAGGGACGGTCAACAGGACATACTCAAGCAAAAAGAGCAAAGTGTCCAAAGGTCAGCACTACTTAAAAGGTCAGGAGTGCCGATGCGTCCACCAGGACAGGCTCCAAGGGAAGAGTCCAGAGAAACGCAGAAGGAAACTTGCACCCCCGGCTCTCGGGAGGGATGGCCAGTCACCTGCCCTGCACTGTGTGCCTTCTGACTGCTTTGCCATGTGGCATATTATCTAACAAGGAAGAAGGACAAAATACATTAACTTTTAAACCCTGTCGCCCCAGGTGCTCAGGAGGCTGAGGTGGGGGATCCTGTGAGCCCCGCAACTAGAGACCAGTCTAGGCAACAGGGGCTCAAGATTCTGTCCTAAAAAAAATCCTATCAGTGTGAAAACACACACACACACACACACACACACACACTGACAGAAATACACATAATGGCTTGGGCACAGTCTCATGGTGCACAGCCACAGAGAGTGGCAGCCTGGAAGGGACGATCTCTTGATTCTGGTGATTCAAAAAGGGAGGTGTGGGCTGGGGGTGCAATTGGGTGGTGAGCATGTTCCCAGCTGGCAGGAGACTCTGGGCTCAACCCCTGGCATTGCAAAAACAAACAAACAAAAAACCCTGAGGCGGGCACATCTTTTATCACAACAGCTATTCCTCATTCAGTGTGCTGCCCCGGGGCCAGTCAGGGGTAGGGGAGACAGTTACAGAAAGCACTCTTACAGGACAGGGCAGGAGGGCCCTGGGGCCCAGGACCTTGGTCCCCAGTAATGACAAGCTGGCAGGGTTGCCAGCAGCCCATGAACTTGGAACCAAGCATTTCCAAAGGGACCACGTGTGGCCAGGATGGGCACCTGATGCAGGTGTTTTGCAGTTCAGAGCAGTCACTGGACGGCTGAGGTAGGGTGGCGACAAGATCCAGGGCGAGACTGTGGCTTTTGGAACCATGTGGCCCCAAGAAGTCGTGTGGCCAGGCCACTGGTCAGGAGTTGCGGGTGTCAGGCCCAAGGCGGACTCTCTAGAGTGGCTCTCTTCACCCCTCGAGGTGTCCCCACCAACCAGAGCTGGTGGCCCTGCTCATCCTCAGAAGAGCTTCAGAGGCCATGGCCCAGGCTCAGCACCATCCCCTGGGGAGCAGATGGGCCCAAGCTCATCTGGGAGCCCAAGGGCCACATGCACAGAGGCCCTGGTTCTGTGCAGGTGTGTGGGCCCCGCCCAGGAGCCGTGCTGGCCACAGTTCTATGTGCCTTGCTGAGACAACTATCAGAAGCCTTCCCTCCGAGGACATACAGCTCCTACATCCTAAATCTCTGCAGGACTCCAGTCTCTCAGCCAAGTCACGTTCAGAACAAGACCAAAGAAAACCACCATGTAACTAAGCTATTTAAAAGAAATTTCAGAAAATGTTTTAAACACGTTTTTCATGATGTTACTGGTCAGTCTGGAATTGCTCACCTTCAAGGTACATAGGTCCCACAGGTCCTGTCGTGCCCCCCCCCCTTCTGCTGAGCCTCTTCCTCAGGCCCCAGGCCAGGACAGCCTCCCATGGGGGACCTTCCCAGGCCGGCAGAGGGCCCTCCTCCCAGCCCCCGGGGCCACACACCAGCCACACAAGCAAGGTATCCTCTACCTTGAATCCAGAGTTAGCTCAACAGCTGTTCTTTTGGTGACTGTCAAACTCTTCCACCAACATAGCCCAGAGAGAAATTGTAAATGACTCTATTAGTGAAAACTAAGACGGCTGATGCACACAAGGAAAGTCCTAGGGTGTCTGATGGGCAGGCTTCAGGGCATCTTTGTTTTGTGCCCATAACAGCCTTTTGGATGAACAGAAGGAGGTCTAGCTAGAAAGGGGTGAGGGCCTCCAGCCTCCTCCCAAGACCTCTCCCAGCTCCCGCTCAGAGTTCTGGGGCTGGGGGTGTGGCTCAATGGTGGAGTACGTGCCCACCATGACCCCTGGTCATCAAAACCTGTGAAGCCCTTCATACAATAGGTGCCAGAAAACCCCGAATGGAGACCCAGGCTCCACCCCATGGCCGCCTGTGGCTGTGGCCAGATGACCTGCCTTCCCAAGTTGTGGCGTGGTGAATGCTGTATCCAGGCTAATTTTCATTACCACCAGAGTCCCACACCTGGCCTCAGCCCTGAACTCATCCTGCCACCAGCATCCTCGAGCAGGGTGGGAGCTCCAAGGGGCTCCATTGAATCAGACAACACCACCTACAGGGGACCAGGGCATAGCAGTGACAAGGCAGAAGGGCCAGGCCAGGGGGACAAAACCCAGAGGAAGAGGGTAGAGAAGACAGACAATCCTTCTAGCAAGAAAGCTCTCCAGGTTTCTGTGAAGGGTGCCCATCTTTGCTCAGTCCCCA